TGGAAAGGTCGGTAGCCAACCCGGGAAGAACCAGCAGCAAACCCGGGGAGGGCCGAGCAGACAAAAGAACAGCGCAGGGTCCTGTGTCGTTCCTCCATGAAGAGGGGGAGCGACATAATGGTGCTGTGACTCGGATAGGAAACCTAGGCAGGGTTTAGTGTCGTTCCTCCACGAAGAGGGGGAGCGACAAATGGCATACCTATTTGATGAAATATTGTACAGATACTAAAAATCATATTTATCTAATGTCACAGGGACATGTTTCCTACAAAAATGCTAGGTTTTAAAAAACATACAGTATAAATGATATATATGGAATACCATTTTCGTAGAAATTATTCATTATTTATGATAAATATATTTGCAATAGACAGAAATATTCAGGAAACCTACATGGTTGTCCTCTAGTGTGGAAGACAGATAATAAAGGTGTGAGCAAAGAAACAGTAACTTTAATTCATGGTAAGCGCTGTGAAAATGACATTTGTAACATGACGGCACAGGGCTGCACAGTACATGTGGAAAGGGAGTGGGCACTGACCAGAGGATATTTTTGTTAAAATATTGAGGGAATTTATTACCTGGATTTTGAGGAGACAGGAATTTAAAGTAATGGAAGAAGATGATACCAAGCAGAAGAAATACATGTATAAGGAAACATCACTGGAGCTGCAACCTCAAAGGCAACATACAGGGTGAAACAAGATGAAGCAGGCAAGGATTAGATCCTATGGGATGTTGTAGGCTGCATTATAGGGTCTGGATTTTATTCTGGGTATAACAGGAAGTTATTGCATGCCTTTAAGCAAGAAATTGATAGTATCTGATTATGAACAGCACACTTAGGAAATATTAACTGCCAGACAATAAAATGGAAGAAAAAATATGAAAATCTGGTAAGAACTTCCAAACAATGACTTGGAACAAGCCAGAAAAAAGGACCAACATTTCTATACTTCAATCCCAAGCTCTGAAGGTATCAGTGTATTATTATAGCACAGTAAATTAACTAAAGTTCATCATAATGAGTTGCATTCAAGAAGAAAACATAACACTATAAAATACTACCATATGTTTACATGATACTTTAAATATTTTATAAACTATAATATATATATATATATATAATCTGAAAATACACTTTTTAAAATGGCAAGGGAAGTGTATCATTTCAAAAGGTTTTATCTAAATAATTTTCTTTTCTGTTCCAAGAAATCTTTACCGTATCAATAAATTTAGATGCCTAAACAATTCAGTTTTGAAAAGCTAGTTTAAAACAATGAACACATAGAAATCTACTTTCGCTCCCACACTACTTGTATTGCAACAGTCAAATCAGCTATGAAACTGATTTTAAAAACTCTACCAAAGCAAGCAAGTTATTTTACTGTCATTTAAATATAGTCACATCTCTTTACCTCTCTCCTCAGGCTATTATCTCAACTTCTAATTCCCATACTCATCTCTTCACCATCCCAATTCTTGTTCTTAGCCAGTTTGGGACAGAAGAAAATGTAGGAAAATTTCTTTAAAAGCTTGTCAGTTGGAGGTAGTGTGAGGTATATACAGCCCCTGTGTGTATCTAAATATCATGGGGAAGAAACACATGGAACCAAAGGCTGTGTGTTTAACAAAAAAAAATCTAGAACCTAAAATTTTAATATTTGTTTTAACTACAATATTCCAGATTTTCTATTAGCTTAAAATTTTCAAGTGTATTAAAAATGTATGGATTGCGGCCAACACTGTGGCATAGAAGGTCAAGTCTCTGCCTGCAGTGTCGGCATCCCTTATGGGCACCAGTTCAAGTCCTAGGTGCTCCATTTCTGATCCAGCTCCCTACTAATACACCTGGGAAAGCAGTGGAAGATGGCCCAAATACTTGGGCCCCTGCACCCATGTGGGAAAACCACAAGAAGCTCCTGGCTCCTGGATTTGGCCTGGCCTACCCCTGGCCATTGCAGCCATTTGGAGAATGAACCAGCAGATGTAAGCTCTTTCTCTCTCCTTCTCTCTCTATATCTCTGCCTTTCAAATAAATAAATAAATCTTTTTAAAAAAAAAAGTATGGACTGCCAGTTCATATATTTTATAAAAATAAACCAATAGGAAATTTAGTATACTAAACATGCTTAATCAAGTAACTCTATCAACTACTCCAAACAGTTCACTAAGAAGTTCAGTAAAAATGATCCTGCGGTTTAATATCTACCTTTGGCAGAGATAACCAACTGGAAAAAGAAATCAGGACTAACCTCCACCTTTCTTACCAAGTGAAATTCACATGGTGTTGATTCTAAAAATAATTACAAGCTTTTGAATATAAATATATTTTATCATGTGCTTATTATGTGGATCACTAGGTTTAGAATACACACTACTAGATTGAAAGTCAAAGTCAACAGAGCAGAAACAGAAATCCAAGTTCATATTTCAAAAGGCATTTATTCACAAAGAAAACATAGCAGGGGTTTTAAAAGTGCGTAAAGTGATGAGCACAAGAATCTCTTGGTCACAAGAAAGAATCTTCCACAATAGGACTGGAAAGACACATAGAAAATCAATGCAGGTGTTTTGCATAGCAGTTAAGCGCCAGAAAAGACACCTACATCCCATATTAGTATGCCTGGGTTTGAGTCCTGTTTCTGCTCCTGATTCCAGCTTCCTGTTAATGCAGACCGAGGGAGGTAGTGGTGATAATGCAACAAAAACAGCTGTCTACACTACAGTCCAATAAAGAAACTAAATGATCTTCTCTCTCCAACCTTTTAATGTGGAACAGTCCTTTCTGTTTTGGTTTTCATGACAATGAATTTTTTGAATAGTCCAAGCTGTGGTCTTACAGAATATCACTCATTCTAGATTGGTCTGATTGTTGATGTTAACAATAACATTTTAGGCTACAACTACTAGGTTGTAGCGCTGTCCACCTCTTACTGAATAACAGCAGGGTTCTAAGTGAGCTTGTATAACAGTGACTGTCAGATGAGTTAGTTAAGAAAAATAATGTCACATCTGTCCATTATAAATGTGTATTTTTATCCCATTTGTAATCAGAAATAATCTATGAAATGCTGACAGCATATGAATAAAATGTATTCTTTTGAAATATATTTGTATACTTCATCTACATAGGATTACTTATAAAAAAATATTTATTTATTTGAAAATAAGAGAAACAGAGAGAGAGGGAAAGACAGAGAGAGAATTCTTCCATCTACAGGTTCACTCCCCAAATGGCTGCAATGGCCAGGGCTGGGCCAGGCTAAAACCAGGAGCCAGGAGCATTCTCCAGGACTCCCATGTGGGTGACAGGGACCCAAACACTTGGGCCATCATCTGCTGCTTTTCCCAGGCCAGGGAGCTGGATCAGAAGTGGAGCACCAGGGACACAAACCAGCATCCCTGTGGGATGCTGGCCTTGTAGGTAGCAGCTTAACCAGCAATGCCACAATGCTAGCCCCAGGATTACTTTTAATTGCAGAAAATCTGAACTTAGAAATTCCCACTTGGATGATGCTAGGTTACACCACCATCATATTAATGGCAACTACCAAATCTCTCCATTTTTAGTACCTTTTTTGTTTGCAAGTAGTAAATAATCTTTGAAACCAGGTGAATATCTTGTTGCCCCCAAAATGTGCCACTCAGTGGTTTCTTACAGTTATACTCTTAATTATAAAGTAAGGGTGTGCCTGCAATAAAGTTTCAAATTCAAAGAACTATGAAGGGCCCTTCCTTCCAGTCCTCCAGCCACACTTCTGGAACACATTTGATGTCCTCTCTGTTAAATGCTTCATGTGCATCCCTTTGGAAGCTTTCAATGTATTCATAAAGCCAAATGCATTTCTTTTATTTTTCAATCACAGATGGGAACATATTATAGGTACTATCTTGCAACTTCATTTTTTTTTTCACATAGGTTCTGGACTTCTTTCCTATCAGTGCATACAGATTAGTTAACCTCATTCTATTCTTCTTACCATTACTTAGATTATTAGTCTCTTAAATGTACATTATTACTGTTTTCAGTTATCACTTTATGATTTCAAACAATGCTGCAATAAATATCTTTGGTTTTGTGTCCTTTTTGTGAATATACTTGGAAGAAAAATTGTTAGAAACCTAACTTCTAGGACCAAATGCACCTGTCATTCCTTTTCTTTTGATCGATGTTGCCAAATTTTCTCTTAAAATTGCATCACTTTCTGCTGCCCTCAAAAACAATGCCATTTTCTCATGCCTCCCTCCTCATCAACACTGGACATTAGCAAATTCTTCAATCTTTACCAATCAGACAAGTGAAAGAAAAACAGCAGCTCACTGATGTTTTAATTGTCACTTTTCTAAACAAGGAGGTCAAGTACCTTTTCATGAATTGATTGGGTATTTGAAATATTTTCTCTTTGAATTGCTTGTTTAGTTTCCATCCTATTTTCTATAAGGTATTCTGCATGGACAACAAATACAACTTCTTTCAAGCAACGTACTAGAAAAATATACATAACAAACTTCATTATAATAGTCCTACTACTTCAGTTGGTAATCTATACCTAGGACTCCTTCCTACAAAACCTGTGGTTCCTATAGTATATATTTAAGTTCACTACCTTTAGTACGTTTTTACCCAATTGACCTTTAGATTGAGAATACTTTAATAAATGTGTAGCGAATTTTCCATATCAAAATCTTATTTTTTAAGAAAATTCAAATTTCTATAGGCAAGTAGTAGAAAGCAGCTGAAAATGAAGAAATCAGCATATTGATCTTGAGCTGATACTTTAGAGCCATTAATTTCATCTAGGGTTTCTCATTTGGTACTAAATCAAGAAGACATTTCCAAGAAAAGCAAAACCAAAAAACTAAATTAAATCTGTTTAGAGAGAGCATACTACATCTACCTTTCACCATTACAAGAGCTACTTTCATTCTACTTAAAAAATCAATTTTGTGTATCCCTGGAGTACACAGGCCCGGGCTGGAGTGTGAGAAGAACTTGCCTGATCAATGTAAAAAGCCGTGCCTGCGCGGATCTCCCGCCGCTGTTTGAGATCCGTTTCCGTCGTGTCCCTTGACAGCGCAATGTATTCAACCTCTCGCTTGGTCAGCTCCTGGAGAACAAGAATGAAATTATTCCAAAACTCAAATCAGACTCCCAGCATACGATTTGGTGCAAGTTATCTGGCAATGCCCCTGCCCTACAGAAAAGCATTTTAAACATAATTGTGGGACTAGTGCTGTGGTGCAGCCTGCAGTCATAGGGACCGGTTTGCATCCCAGCTACTCCACTCCACTGGCTGCTCCACTTCCGAAAACACCATATGGGTCCCGGTTCTAGTCCCAGGGAAAGCAGCAGAGGATGATCCAAGTACTTCAGTCCCTGCATCATGTAGAAGACCCTGAAGAAGCTCCTGGCTCCTGGTTTCGGGGGTGAACCTGCAGATAGAAGCTCTCTCTCCCTCTAACTGCCTTTCAAATAAGTAAATAAATCTTTACAAATAAATAAATAAATAAATGTAATTGTGGATGAAAAAATCATTTACGTTTCAGCTTTGAGAAAAATGTAATAAATTGAACATTAACCAATATATGTAAATAACTCCTTAGAGCTCTACTTCTGTACTCAATCCTACTATAAGCAATAAGAATGAAAATTAGATATTAAAACCTTAATTTCCCCTAGAGAATGCTTTTCAAATATCCTGAGTAACAACCTGAAAGTACTACTTGATTTTCCCATAAACTACTATAGCTGTTTCTGTAAGGAATGTTTATCTTTTTTTAAAAAAAGTGATTAAAAACAATTTACTTCATTGACCAATATTTACCAATTGTATACAGATTGTTAGGTGCTTTACCCAGTATGAAATTAAGGTCAAGCCCAACAGTGAGATCAATAGGCACACACAGCTGAGGAGGGACACAGAACAGGAGAGACAGGGGGAGAAGGAAAAAGAGAAGATGAAAGAGGAGAACAAGAAAGAGGGGAGGAGGGAAAACCTTGTTTCTTCGAAAGACAATACGTTTTAAAGGGAAACCAACCAGAATCAATTTCTTGCATGACAGTTCATCCTCCTTCAATTCATTTTGTCCTACACGTAACAGCTATGTAAAAGAAAAGTCTTTAAAATTATTTTTATTATCTTCTTTTTCACAGTGTTGAATTAAGAACAATGACATTCTCTATCAAGGCTTGCAATAAGTTTTTACTAAACAGGGCAAACCAATTACTTTACTGGAACATAAGGGGAAAAGTTGAATGCGCATGCTATTAACAGTGAGAGGTAATATCTCTATACAAGGAAGATTTTTTTTCTCTACCTTATCTCAATTTGATTTCATAAAAATAAATTATTATTTAATTTTTAATGTGCTAGTTGCTAACTTAAAATATGAGTACTTAAAAAAGATTACGGAAAACAAAATTAAAAGACAGGTTCATTTTGGTACAAAAATATTTTGAGTGTGCAGCAGCAATAATGGCATCCCATATTAAGCACTGGTTTGAGTCCCAGCTACTTCACTTCCAATGCAGCCCCCTGCTAATGCACCTGGGAAAGCAGCAGGAGATAGTCCAATTACATAGGTCCCTGCCACCCATGTGGAAAACCAGGATGGAATTCTGGGCTCCTGATTTTGGCCTGGCCCAGTCCTAACTATTGCAGCCATTTGTATATTGAACCAGAGGATGGGAGTTATCAACCTGTGTGTCACTCTGCCTTTCAAATAAGTAAAATGAAACAAAAAAAATTTTTTAATCATACTAATGTTTTCAGAATACATATTTTTCCTAAACTTTTTAAGGATCCCTTATATGCATGAAATTTAAAAATATTTTGCACCAAAATAAACAGCTTTTAATTCCTTTTTTCATGAACTTTTGGAAGTATCCTCATATGTGTGGAAAGGATGAAAAATTTTAAATATAGAAAACACACAGAGCACAGTAGTGAAGACGAGATAGCAAGCAATGTCTCCCTAAATACAATGAACTGTCTGTGAGAATGCAAATTTGGAGTACGGTAGCAGTTTTTTCCTTTGAATAGATGCCTCTGCTTTTACTTCTGGAACACATCACCAGTACCTTTATGTCTTCTTCACTGGTTAGTTAATACTATCACCCTTACTGAAAAAATGGCACTCACAACAGGCATCCATTGCTTGAAAAGCTACGTATGCCTCTTAGTATGAAACTGTACCATATTACACCCTGAACTGCCGCACTGAGGAAAGTGTGAACATTATATCATACCCAGCACTGATGGCTTCCTTGGACTCTTCATCAACCATGACAAGCACCAAAGTGTGGGGAGCAATCCGGACTGGACTGAGTTACTGGAATTAAGACTTATTCTATGCATCTGCTCTCCCACAATATGGTGCTGGGAGAGAAGTAAACAGCTTCCGCACAGCTGCCTCCAGTTCAACCAATAAACTGTAGGACTTGCTCCTGATTGGAGAGCGGCGTACTCGGCGTGTGGGCAGCCGAGTTAGGATTGGCGGAAGAGGACTATAAGGGAGGAGAGAGACGGCATGCACGAGGAACATCTAAGGGGAACATGTAGCTGAAGGAACACCTGTGCAGCCCCCGAGAGAACCGGCCGGCGGTGTGCCGCTCCCCTGCGGAAGTGGGGAATGTGGCAGGGGGAACTGCCCTTCCACGGAGGTGGAAGGGATAGTAGCCAACCCGGGAAGAACCAGCAGCAAACCCGGGGAGGGCCGAGCAGACGAAAGAACAGCGCAGAGTCTTGTGTCGTTCCTCCACGAAGAGGGGGAGCGACATAATGGTGCCGAAACCCGGGAAGAACCAGCAGCAAACCCGGGGAGGGCCGAGCAGACGAAAGAACAGCGCATGGTCCTGTGTCGTTCCTCCACGAAGAGGGGGAGCGACATAATGGTGCCGTGACTCGGATGTGAAGCCTAGGCAGGGCTTAATGTCGTTCCTCCACGAAGAGGGGGAGCGACACCAAAGTCTTCTTTTTCTTTAATTTTAGTGTTTAATTAGTTCTTTTTTAACAGGTTCAATGTGACTTGCAGATACAATTCTAAGAACATGGTACTCCTTCCTCCCTACTTTCTTCCTTCTCTCTTCCTCCCATTCTCCTTCCTTCTCCCTTTCTCTCCTTTAGTTTTTCAGGTAACAAACTTTAAATTTATTTTACAGTAAAAAGGCTTAATAGTTCACCAAATCAGAAGCTTAACAAGTAAAAGCAAAAATAACCTAGTTTAGTGGGAATACAGACAATGGCTTCGCACCAAAGTCTTCCAGGTGCTGTCTGATGAAAGAGGTATGAGCAAGCTCACCAACAGTGGCAGGAGGAGGTGGTGGTAGTGGTGCACTGAGGTTTCTTGTTTGTTTGTTTTTAAGATTTATTTATTTATTTGAAAGTGAGAGTTTCAGATAGAGAGGAAAAGACAGAGGAAGGGAGAGTTCTTCCATCTGCTGGTTCACTCCTCAGATGACCACAACAGCCAAAACTGGGCCAGGTCGAAGCCAGGAGCCAGGAACTTCATCTGGGTCTTCCATAAGGGTTAGCAGAGGACCAAGCACTTGGGCTATCTTCTGTTACTTTTCCCAGGCCATTTGCAGGGACTGGATCAGAAGCTGGTTTGTTGTTTTTTTTGAAGGATCACAAAAATCACAAAACTTCTCTTATATGAGCTCAATATTAAATGAAGAAAATTATCAGTTCTCACTCATTCATTTCTCACTGGTTCAGCAGGCTTGTCCCCAGATTTCTCCCTTACCTTATCTACTCCTTGGTTGTAGCAGTACTCACTGCAGAGGCTAGTACTGAGTGTTAGCCTCAGCTCTACCTCACAACTAAAATTTGTGTAAGTATACCAGCTTCACACTTACAGATTTATGTTGCACTTTGAACCACCAAGCCTCCTAAAATCATCCAACCATTCTCCTCTCACAGTTTCAAAGAGTTTTAGAGCTTGCCAATGACAAAATCTACATCATATAGTGTGGCCTTTTAAAAGAGCAAGGTAGGGAGTACACATCTGAAAACCAAAGAGGTTCCAGACCTGGGAACCCCTGTAGCTGGTCTGGCATTCTCAGATGAGATACTTGTGCCTTACATATTAATGATCTCATAATAATACTGCAATGGCATGTTATACCTCAGAAACTGGTTCTAAGGATAAATAAAAAAGTATGAAAGGAATGAACTGGTGGGAGGTACGTTCTGATTCACCCGCTGCATTTTTGTCGTTGCTGCCTCACATTATTTTTGCAGTGTCAAAGTCAAGTCACCACCAGAAAAGAAAGTATACAAAGATCTCGGTAGCATAAAAATCAATCTTTTAAACAACAGAAGGAAGCTGTAAATAAAGATTTTTCTCTTCATCTTAAAAATAAAAAATCTTCAGAACACAGCACCTTCATGGGATGGTACACTCCCTCATGTCATTAGAATAATAATTATTAATGCTGATAAAACAGTAGGAAAGTCTTGTAAATGTTTTTGATTGGATTGAGATTTGAACATTTCAACTCAACAGCTCTGCAAGCATGTAAGAGGATAACATGCAGAAAGGGGAAACAACATGGAATGCGCAGTCTACCATTCATTAGCTAGATAACACTTGACTCATTTAAACTATGTGAACTGTGGAGGATTTCAGGGCAGGCTGGAGAACATGGAACATACAAAATATGCTCTAACAAATTTTAGGTTCCCTTTAAAGACTGCATACTTCAAATGCCCAGGCTTGTTCGAGTTTTTAAAATGTGAGTCGGGGGCTAAGGGGATATTCATAGAGTACCACAAAACTAAGTTTTGTTCTAGACTTTCAGAGTTGTTGATTCTATCTACAAAGCTACTCATTTCCAGAATTTATAAATTTCCTTCTATAAAAATGGAGATTTCATAGTTAAGTTCAAAAAAATTAAAGCAATGAATGGCAAATGTATGTCTGCTTTTCAAACAAGTTTTGCCAAACCCTTCATAAGTAAATCATCCTCTGATGGTAGCATCTGTCTAAAGCAAGGACTAATTCTGGCACTGTTTGTAGAATTCTAATTCAATGTAACTAATAACATAGCTGATCACTGTTTAGATCCTTAGGAACTGACAAGAATTGATTGCTTACCAAGTACTGCATAGCAATAGAGCGGCGAAGAGGTCCAGGAGGTCCTATTAGAAAGACATCTTGCCCCAAAAGATCCTTCTGCATTATCCATCTTAGATGGTGAACTACAGATTGAGCCAGAGAGTCTGAAACTTTCAGGAGAAAAAAAAAAAAAAAAAAGAAAGTGAAATTCAAATTGAACTACTACTTACAACACTAATCTGCAAGCAATGCAGACATTATAGTTTAAAATATATATATCTATATGTACACAGAGAGAAGCATAAAGACACTTGGTAAATTTTCACACTGATATGCGATAAAACCATTACTACCAGAGCTAAAATGGGACAAAGTTTACAATATTAGAGTCACTTATGTTATACTTGAACGTATATAAGAACATTTGAAAAATCACCTACAAGTACCCCTAAAGGAATTAAAGTGCCTTTCAAAAATGATTTGAGGAACTGATATCATTACTTTGTCATAGTTTTATGGAGCAATCCTTTTGTTTTGTTTTGTTTTTTGGACAGGTTAGACAGTGAGAGAGACAGAGACAGCGAAAGGTCTTCCTTCCGTTAGTTCACCCCCCAAATGGTTCACCCCCCAAACGGTTGCTACAACCGGCGTGCTGCGCCTATCCGAAGCCAGGAGCCAGGCGCTTCCTCTGGGTCTCCCATGCGGGTGCAGGGGCCAAGCACTTGGGCCATCCTCCACTGCCTTCCCGGGCCACAGCAGAGAGCTGGACTGGAAGAGAAGCAACCGGGACAGAACTGGCGCCCCAACCGGAACTAGAACCGGGAGTGCCGGTGCCACAGGCGGAGGATTAGCCTAGTGAGCCGCGGCGCCAGCCAACAATCCTGAACAAATCTTTCCAGGTGATTAATTATCATAGTCTTGAAAATTAGGGGAAAATTCTACCATTTATAAAGTGGCAATAGGTATAAGATCTCTTGGCTGGCACCGAGTGTGGGTGTGGGTCACAAAGGTTCATTTTTCTGCATTTTACATACACATACAGGCACATACAAACATACATACATTTATCTGCATACAGGCATATAAAATATTTTTGTATTTTCGAATGTTCCATACCTTTCAAATTTTGTTTAATCATCCATCCCACAGGGTTGGGGTAGACTAATTGGGGAGAAAAATCTCAGTAGGACAACAATGTAAACTAGATTAAAATATGCTAAGATATACCCTTTCGAGAAATCATCATTTCATGATGCTCAACTGCAATCCACCTGAGCCCAGAGTTCACCTCACTTACAGCTCTCAAACATTGTTTCTTTCCCACTTCAAGTTTAGACCTATCTTTGTGATATTTGAAGGCACTTCAAAAAGTTCATGGAAATTAAATTAAAAGATAACACACATTTTCCAAGAATTTTGAAGCCAACCTCATATAGTTTTTTTTTTTTTTATTTCAAGGTGTCAGTCACCTTGCTGTAAGACGCCATAACTTCTTCCTAAGTAAATTATACGGTATCTCCTGTGCTGCAGATCTTCTACCACTTTGTACTCTGATATAAAATATGCCATTAAAAACTCAAAACACTTTGGGGTTTTTTTCTTCATGTTTTCGAATTTCAGCTTCATTTGGCCACAGGATTTCCCAACATTACTCTCACAGTTTTGTATCACTCTTTGTATTCAACTTTGGCAATGTGCCTGACCTTCCATTACCTGCACTTGACTATTTAAAATTTGCAAAGTTCTAAAAGGGAAAGCCAAGGTGGTCTCTTTGATTTCCTCCCACATTTTATTATTTATTACTATTGGTAAATAGTCACAATTACATAATCTCAATTTAGTTCTGTATAGTTCCAGTACATTTTAAATGTCTTAACATTGAAATATATTCATTTTCAAGAATCTAAGGTGGCAGTTTCTAATCAAATGTTGTCTCTCTTCCACTAGTTGTCAGATTAATAAAGTGCAGAAGTTTAGGAGTAATTTGGCTCCTTTTTTTTTAACTAGAAAACTAGAGTAGAATCAGATTTATATATCTGTATACTAATGAACTTTATTAAGCAGTAAATAAAGGCAGGGAGTTATTTAAAGCTACATATCTGAGAACTGTATACATTCCTGTGCATGCTCATGGGAATGTCTTCCACTTCAGTGGGATGCTCATATGTGGCTTAAGGCACATCTGGAAATTCCATTCTCAACTACGGGCAATACTGCCACCAGCCTTTGCCTACTATGCATTTGGAAATATCTGGGGGGTATTTTATTTGTTGCAGAACTTTGAGGGATGATTTTGATACTTAATGATGCTAAATACAACCTCTAACACAGTCAATTCCTACCCTGTATGTCGGTGGCACCCTACTTGAGAAAGACTATGGTGTTTTTCTCAAGCCCCCTGTTGCTTGTACATTATTAATGAGTTATTTCCAATTAGTCACAATTAATCCCAAAGAGAGTCCCTCCCCAACTCTCCCACCTTCTGAAAGATGAAACTGTTAAGAAGGTAAATCAGTACAGAATAAGTCTTACCTCTAGATTGAGCCTCTAGGAGATATGGGGATACCCAAAGTTCTCATAAGCATATTAAAATTTTTCAATTTTATGTAAGTTCCTTAATATATGTAAGCAGCTGGGGCTGGCACTGTTATGCAGCAAGTTAAACCATCTCTTGCAATGCTGCATCCTATATCTGAGTACCAGTTTGAGTCCTGGCTGCTCCACTTTTGATGCAGCTGCCTGCCAATGTGTCTGTGAAGCTAGTGGAAAATGGTCCAAATATTTAGGCCCCTGCTGCCCATGTGGGAGACCTGGATAGACTTCCTGCCTCCTGACTTCAGCCTGGTCTAGCCCTTCCTGTTGCAGGCATTTGGGGAGTAAACAAATAGATACAAATAGATCTCTCTCTCTCTCTCTCTCTCTCTCTCTTTCTCTAACCCCCTCCTTCCCACTCTTTCTCTTCCCTGCTCTCTGTTACTCTACCCTTCAAGTAAACAAATCAATATTTTTTAATTAACATATTTAAGCAATTTCTGAATCTGATGGCTGGCCTTCAAGTCCATGGTATATGTTTAAAAGGACCGTTTATTTTCCCTGCTTTTATCTTCCTCCAAAAACAGCTCTAAGGCCATAATTTATTATGTTCCTATCATGTGCCAGGTAAAAATGCAATGACTTTTCATGCTATAGGTCATTTAGATCTCATAAGAAGCCTTTACAGACTGTAGTATGTAAAGCCACAGGCTTCAGCCAAATTATGCTGGGTAAAAATGCCACCACTGCTATTTCCCTGCTACATAACCTTCATCAAGTTATTTAATCTCTTAAGGCTCAATTTCCTCACCTGTGTACAATAATTCTACTTACTTAGAGAATTGTTGTGATGAGTAAATTAAGCACCTGGAACAGTACCCAGTAACAACAAGCGCTGTGTTTGTTATACAGTCATTATCTCGATTTTTTTTTTTTTATTTTTTTATTTGACAGGTAGAGTTAGACAGTGAGAGAGACAGAGACAGAGAGAAAGGTCTTCCTTCCATTGGTTCACTCCCCAAATGGCCACCACGGCCAGCACTGTGCTGATCCGTAGCCAAGAGCCAGGTGCTTCCTCCTGGTCGCCCATGTGGGTGCAGGGGCCCAAGCACTTGGGCCATCCTCCACTGCCCTCCCAGGCCACAGCAGAGAGCTGGACTGGAAGAAGAGCAACCGGGACTAGAACCCAGCACTCATATGGATGGGCTGCTGGAGCCACAGGTAGAGGATTAACCAAGTGAGCCACGGCACCGGCCCCTATCTCGATTTTACAATAAGGAAATCACAGTTGGAAGGTTGTTTTGATACTACCTGAGTGTGTCCTCTCAAGGGTTCATGTGCTGGAATCCATTGTGGCAGTGTTGCAAAAGGGTGGTACCTTCAAGAGGCAGGGCCTGGCAGGAGGTCCCAGGATTGGCCCGGCCCTTCATTCAAGCTTCCTGTGGCACCACCTGACCTGTCCATCTTGCATGCACTCCTTCCACTGTGGTGTCATCCACTGTGAGACCTGGAGGTAAGGTGCCCTCACCGGAGCTGAGGCCACACGGTGTGGACTTTCTGCCTCCAAAACTGTGAGCTAAATAAACTCTTTTCTTTTTGAGTACCCAGCCACAGGCGTTTCTTCATAGTAATGAAAAACAGACTACTATAGTTACTGTCATTTGTCCATAGCTGATAAGGCTATAAACCAAGATTTAGATCTAAGTAGTCTGAGTCATACAGTCCCTCCGAAAGCTTTTCTATAGGCGTCTGTTTACCTTCAGGTCCAAGAATCTTCTCTAAGTATGGATCCCACAAGGCTACATCAAATTTAGTAGATTTGCTTTTCTGGCCATCAGTTTGCTCTTTCATTTTTGGTGATATCAATGGTATTTTTTACTCCTTTTATTAAAATTTCAAATTCATTTCATTATATTATTATCATCAGAGGACCTACTTCTCCACAAAATTCATACTATCACTTGTTCATGTTTCATTTTAGTGTATTTTGTCAAAGAAATGCACCTCCATATTTAATTTGCCAGGAAATTGCATTAATCTACTGAAAGAAAGCATTATGTAGTGTTGTGTGATGTCTGCAGTATATTTTACATTAATGCTTGAAACTAGCTGTATTTTTAGGATAGCCTCAAGAAAACATGAGTCATACTTAAAAGCATGCCAGAAATAGAAACAAGATTTAAGACTGTACATTACGAACATCTGCAAAACAAACTGCCAAACTGCCATGCATAACCTAATATAAACACAGCCCAGTGCATGAGAAATTCCCAACTTCAGTGTTTTCAGGCACAAGACGCTACCTTCCAGGAGTCCACATAATAAACTGATGTCAAAATAATGCCAAAGAGCTTGATCATATATCCTACGATTTCCTTTTCTAGGTAAAAATAAGACATCTGGTTCATGATGAACTAAATTTCTGACTTAATTCCTACTCAGTATTTTTAAATGCTTATTTATTTTCATTTATTTAAAAAGCAGAAACAGAGAGGGAGGGAGGGGGAGAGAGATAGGGAAAGAGGGAAGGAGGGAGAGGCAGACAGAGGGAGACAGAGAGAGAGAGATTTTCTGTCACTGGTTCACTCCCCCAAAGCCTGCAACATCCAGGGCTGGAGCAAGCTGAAGCCAGGAGCCA